TTAGCAAATCCTCTCTCGAATACTTCCAATATCTACTGACCAAAATGTTGTTGATCAATTCAACACCAACGACGAATAAATTTCGCAATATACAATGATCTTGCTCATTCATTATCATCCTCGTTTACGATTCCAATGCACTGGTTGTCTCTGGCTGCTTCTAATGTTGTTTAGAAAAAGACAACTGAAATTGTTACTGTCAAGTTGAAACCACTTAAGACAAAGAAACTTACCAAGAAGCAATTCGTCCAAATCCTAAAGTTACCTTCTACATGAGAGTTCTATGAAATTATAGTTTTTGTTTTTATAAATCATATTTAACATATAAGAAAATCTTTAGAAAAAATCTTTAACTTTAGTCTTATTTATGAAAAAACTATGATTACTTATTTTAAAAGAAAATTACAAATACCTACAAAATCTTTACATATTTAGGAATTTAGACGATAAAAAGTTCTTATTCGAATACATGGGTTCTTTTTAGAATAAAATAATTTTTTAATGGCTTTTTCAAAAACACCACAAAAAACAATCTATATAAATTATCTACATGATTTGTCTATACATATTATACATAGTTTAATGTGCATAATAGTAACTATGTTGAAAGTTGTTTCAAAATTTATCTCACAAACATTATCCATGCCACATTACATTTTTCAATATGCCGAAATTTCAAAGCATCGTGCGGACGGTTTAAACTCTAATTAGTCATAACTAGGGAAGAATCTCGCGTTGCGGGGTTTGATACGCTAAAGAAATTCTTCAGGTGAAGATTCCTTAAATCTATCTAAATATTTAGGTATCTGTTGTGACTTGCACTCCAGCCCTCCAAAAGCCGAGTGAAAAGTATCCCGGGTAGAATATTACTAAAACCTTTGACACTTGATAAAGGGTATATCTATCTTTTGTGCTTAACTTCTATTATAATTCCTTAGGCGATATGTTGGAATCATCAATGCAACTCTTACCGACAAAGGGCGAGTTAGTAAATTCAAGAAATTATATAGTCTTGTGTTATCAAGATTGTGTTTGAATGGTGAATTTCAGGATGATTATCCCGGGACTTGGAGATGCAGGAGACCGAAGTTATGGTACATAAATGAAACCAAATGAAGGCGTTTATGGTACATCGTATCTTTTTTAAGTTGTGTTGGGTAGTTTTTTAGTTATAAATTTTGCTGAATAAGTTAAGACATTCATGTCTTTCAGATTGTTGTTGTTATTATTGTGACAATGTGACTTATTTATGTTGAGGTTTCTTTCAGCACCTTTTGCTTGACTTGCTTTACCATAGCATGTGTATGTGCATGTCTTATCTTTTTCTTTTTCTGAATTGCAACCAAGCAAACCAACTTATATTTATTTAACCTTTCACTTGCATTTTTTTAAGTCGCCCTACAATCTGAGCTTTTTTTTATTTATTTATAAATTTACATACTTTGTTATTGCAAGGTTAGATTTATCTTTTGTGTTTGTTTGTGGATTCCAGCGGAATTGGAATTCGGGATTCCATTCCGTGGCGCGTTTGGTTGCCAAATGGATGGAATTCAATTCCATGTTTGATAGAGAAAGAATTCAGTTCCATTTTTTCTTTTTCATTAAAAGAACAAAATACCCTCACTATGTTAAAACAAATAAAAAGGAAAATAATTAATTATCAGAGTTTTCAAAAAAAAAAGTTTCAATTATTGAGTTCCATTCCATTTCCCGTCAACCAAACGCTTGACATATTCCGATTCCTGTGACAGATTCCATTCCTTCCATAAACATAACAGTTGTTGAAGTAACTTGAGGGGTATAAAGGGAAGTTTTCCAAGAAACAACCTAACACATGAGAACAAACTCATACACTTAATCCATTGTTTTACTCAACCAACAAATTAATTATTTTTAAAGCAATATAAATACAAAGTCGATAAAAAAATTAAATTTATTAGAGAAGTAGAAACAAATCAACTTTTTTTTATCAAAACCCTATAGAGTTTTGAAAACCAAATTCCAAATTTCCCATAAACTAAATCTATTAATTCTTATAGACAAAAAGTTGGTATAATATTTACCATTTGAGAAGTGAAAAATGGATGTGAAATAAAAGTTCAAATTTCTTCAACTTTATCTATTTTACCCTATAAGACTTCAAAAACATTTCATTGATTAGATTCCACCTCAGCAATCTTGCGTGGTGACAGTTTGTTGGTGACACTTTGTTGGTGACATAGCGATGTAGTTTATGCTATTAAGAACATATATTTCATTATTATGACACCTGCAAAAAGGAAAATAAAATAAGACAATGTGAAACCGATTATTTACCCACCCAAAATGACAAAATATAAATAAGAGTATGTGAAATGGATTAGTTAAACTACACCTCATGTCCCGGAAAGTGATAACAAAGGCGTTTTGTTTCTCTTAGACATTTCATCGAACACCTTGAAGGCATTTAGAAAGCAAAAGAATGTTCATTGTTGAATCAGTAAGGGAGTAGCATTAGAATGAACACCTTGACGGCGTTACAAAGCAAAAGAATGTTCATTGTTGCATGAGTAATTGAGTAGCATTAGAGTCAGAATCAGTTGCGGGAATAAGGTCAAATGAAACTAATTACTAACCTGATGACCGATAACATGGCATACCTCCATAGAAACATGTCTGTGAGTCTCTATTGATCTTTGTCCATACTTCTTGTATTCAGTGGATCGTTCACCAGGCTTCATAAAAAAACCTTAAAAGAATTCAAAGAAATAAAATGAAACCTTTATGAACGTTTTGACGATCGACGACGGTGTCAGTGGAAATTACATAAAAGTATGCAAACATGATGGTTTTGTAACTTCTCAGAAATCAGTATGGTAGTTTAGGAATTTCACAGTCGACGAAGTTCTTGAGCAACCCAAAATCAATCGCGACGGGGTCGTCTGTTTGGCAAATCGTATGCATTTGATTGAGGCAGTATCGATTTCAAAGTGAAAGTTTGTGTAAGGTAATGTGAACATGCTAGCAGCAAACCGAAGGTTAAACGGACTAAAGAAGGGCGGTGGGAAGCATCGAGATAACCTATGAAGCGGTGGAAGGTTATTAAAAAGAAAAAAAAGTAGCCGGAGGCGGAAATGGAGTGATGATCAGCTTAAGACGCTTACCAAATGTTATCTGAGAAGAGAACATGCATGTTTTTAAAAATCTGTTTGGAAAAATCTGTTTTGGATTAGTTTTTGAAAAACAAAAATCAAAATTGTTTTTAAAAAGTTTTTGGTTTAATTTTTAAATGATTAAAAATATATGTTTATATATTTACAATTATTTAGTAATTTACATATATTATTTTCTAGTTAACAATTTTTTTAAACACATATTATAATTTTGTAAACATTTTATAAGAAAATATAAAATATAGATTTCTTTTAAATATTCCTAAATTTTTTATTATACCATTAAAAAATGTTCATACAAATTATAAATAATTCATAAAAAAAATATATCATAGATAATATTACATTCGTCTTCGCAATGTGTTTATATCTTGCGCAATAATATCTCGTATCGTTGCCATATATAAATTATCATCACTCGTGCGACGTGTACTTGGACCTTCTTCGTAAACTTCACTACTAGTATCACCTCGTATGGGATTGTAGGATTCTTGTTGTGTCCTATTATAGTTATGGATCGCCATCGATGCTATCACAATTTTAACTTGGTTCTTATACTTGTAATTAACATGCATGTCTCTTAATAACGCCCACCTAGCTTTCCTCACTCCAAAAGTTCGTTCAATGATATTCCGCAATGATGAGTGGAGATAGTTAAATTTCTCTTTTGGTCCACGAGCTTCACGAACAGCAACCGAGTGTCCACATCGAAAATCCAGTAAATGATAACGAATATTTGTACTTTTGTATGGAGCAAGATACCCTCTAGTATTTGGATATCCGGCATTAACAACATAATATTTATCTGTAATTAAAACAAACAAATTATTTTTTCCTTTCAAAAAAGTAGTAAAAATATAAAACTTGTGTTCCAAAAAAAAATATACTAACCACCCATTGGATATGGAAAATTAAGATATGGTCTCTGTAGGGCTTCATTGAATTTTTTTTTTGTTATGTGCAGTCTCCTCCCAACCGGCTCATACAAATGCAAAACACATGTTAAAATCACAAACAACCATTATATTTTATGTTGCATATCCCTTTCGACCAATGTACTTTGCTTCCTTGTTTTGTGGAAATGATGCCCTAACGTGTGTCCCATATATAGCACCAATGCAATCCTTCAAATACAAAAATATATCATAAATAAATCATTTGTTAAAGTTTGACTGCTAAGAAAATGAACATTAGATAATACCTTGAACATTGGATAATACCGAGGGTTATTTAATATATATTCAAGAACATCATCATTATAGTTTGCGTCTGGCTTGATGATGTCGACACTCAGTTTTAGCACGACTTCCAAAACTATATGGAAATGCCTATGAATTGTTTCCCCCGAATGATTAAAAAACTCTTGCACAAATCTCTTGATACACCCATGAGCCAACGTCATCAAGAATATTCCTACAGATTCCTCAATAGATATACTTCGTGTTTGTTGTAGCCCGTAATTTGTGGCAAGATATGCGCATAATTGTCTAAAAACCGGTACGTGCAATCTAAACATCTCATAACACCATCTAGGATGTCCATTTAGTACTTCATAAATAAACATGTGCCCCGTGCGGTCTGAAGTGTGACATGACATACGTACGTTACGAGCTAGTATTATCCCTTTTAAAGTTAATCCACATAACATTTTAAATTCTCTATCCGCTTCCACCCACCATTCTTCATTATCATTAGAAGAATTAGAGTCATCACTATCCATCCTACATAATACAAATAAAAATATGTCAAACAATAACACATAACATAAAGACAAACAATAACACATAATATAAAATGTCAAATACATAATATCAAAGGACAACACATAATGTTAAAACATTGTAAACACATAATACATATTGTCAAAGCATAAAACATAATGTCAAAGCATAACACATATTGCTAAATCATTATTTCATAAGTAACTTAAGGAACCCCATCTTGGCTTCGCCAGTCGTTGGAAACATAAAAGCTTCACGGTTTTGCTTTTTAGTGAACACAAACAATGCTTGTGAAAATTCGTTGGACCCTTCACGAAAATCGGGAAACTTCGTAACAATGGCCATGCAATCTGCTATTGTTGTCGAAGGATTATTTTGTGGATAAGTTTGTGTGCTTTTTGTTGATATGCCATCCAATAAAGCATCTACTTTTTCTTCAAAAACCAAACTTTTACTCTTAGTTGAACGGTTGTTGGAAACAAGCTTAGACCTTTTCTTCTTACTCGAACTACTTTCATGGAAACTAGGTAAAAGCAGTTCAACATCATCATCTAAATTGATATCATTACTATCTCCTTTGCCCTCCACATTTTCTCCGTTTGGATTGCTATTGTTTTGAAACTGTAATGGAGTCATAGTATGATCTCCAACGGCAACAGAATCCCGAAACAAAAGAGCATATTTCTCATCAAGTATGCTCAAATATGCGTTCCTAAATTTTGCATAATCTTTATTCTCCTGCAAGATAAAAAGATAATGTAAATCAAATATGCTTAATTTATATGCAATATATATGCAATCATAACTTAAAATAATTACAAAGAATAGTAAATCATACCTTTATTTTCTCATCCCACCACTCGGGCAATGCATCTATTAGGCTTCTCGTCCTACCGAGTCCGATTTCAAGCCTCATTAATCGGTCATAAAGCTTCCACTCTATTTTCATATTCTCCCATTTGTTTGTTAATTGTTATTTTTCAAGCGTATAACCTGTTTTTTCCTTCATGTGTTTTTGTATATTCTCCCACCAACTTTAGTTAAGTGAGTATCGGTTTTATTGCCTTTTCTTACTTCAATTACACATGAATCAACAAACACCATGAAGCTACGATTATCCTATCCGAATTTTGGTTTTTTCATTTTTAAAGATGTTTCACAGTCAACAACAGTGACGAGGTTTTCGTCCATTATCTGTAAATTTCATATCAACATTTAAACACCAAACCAATTTCATTAACTTTCCTAAATGATTTTATCAATTTAAACAATTGCTAATCAATCTTTTATATGATTCATGAGCTATAGTTTAATTAAAACAGAAAAATTAGAACAACAATAGAAGAAAACAACACAAACCAAAATAAAGAAATTGAAATAATTTTCTCAAACGGTTACCTGTTAAAAACACAAATTGGTCCCTGGGAACAAAAAATTTCATCACTTTAATCAATATCATCCATATTTCATGAATTTCACTAATAATTATTCAATAAATCATTAATTTCACAATTAGATTAACTGTTAACAACACAAACTGTTAACATGGACCGATCCATGTAAGGAAAAATTGAAGGAACAAATCAGATATAATGCTAGGAAAATCGAAATCAAAAGAACAAATCCGCATACAGTGCAAGGAAAAAAGAAGGTTCACAGTTTCTTTGCTAATGAAAATCGAAAATCAAGACAAAAACAAAACCAAAATCGAAGTAATTTACTTACCTGGTCGGAGAGGGAGAAAGGAGATCGGCAGAGAAGGTCAATCGTCGGCTTGGTGGACAATCCTCGACAACTTTGGAGGGATCGGTGACGACTGGGAGGTCGATGATGAACGACAGCGAGAAGAAAGGAAAAGAACGAGAAGAGAAGAACGTGTATTGATTATGGTAGTGGTTGTTGGGGGTATATGAGTCATTTAAGTGCGAAGGCTTCAAAAGTTCCAAAAAATCACAGATACGTGACTTTTCCAAATGCTCATAATCCTCCTTTAGGAAAAGTTAGTTTTAAAAGATCTTTTACATTTACCAAACATCTTTTACCCCATTTTAACTGTTTGGAAAAGATAAAGTCTAAAAGTTGGTTAAAAAAGATAAAACAAACACCCCGTAAGGGTGGAAAAATAGTTTATTCTTCTTTTTATAATAAAAAAATAGTTTATTCTTCTTTTTACATGTGTCATCATATTAGACATCATAATTAATGCATATTTTATTTTTCTTTTGTCATTGATCACCCTATTATGTCTCATAATTAATGCATGTCATTTGTCAACCTATTGATTTTCCATTTCAAATTTCAAAATTTAAATTTATCACTTTAATTATATAAAATTAATAAGACATAATTTTACATATTTATCTAAATCAGTGATTATAATTTTATATAACTAAAAAAATATCTTAATTAATAATTTATTTAAAAAAATGATAAATAATTTTAAGTTTTTACTATTAAAGTTTAATTATGTTTGTAACCGTGATTTTCACAGGTTATAAACTAGTGTATATATAATTGCAAAAAAAAAAAATCCCAACATCGTCGTTTTTTTTTTAATTTTTAAACCGGTTTCATTCAAGCCGAACCTATTTACATAAAATTAGATATTTTCAATGAATAACTTGACTTGAACAGAAAATCGGTTTTTAAAATGAAATCAATTTTGAAAAAAGCAAAAAGAAAGAATAATGTGGTTTAAATACAAGTGCGGATAGTTTTGGGCCGGATGCAAACATTTCTGGTTTGGTGAATGGGCCGTCTAGAAAACCCGGCCACAGTCGAATAAACCCTAATTCCACAACCTATTTATACACCCCTTAATACATACTATCGTTTCATCGATCGGCCTTTGTATATTCTTCATCTACTTGTAATTTCTCTTGATTTGTTTCCGTTTATTTGTATTCTTTTCATATTGATTTTTGAAAATTATTGATTGAAAGATCGCGGTGATGACTCGGAAATTCAAGCTCAACAGACCGGAATGCAGTCATCTCTCTTTAGAGATTTGTTTGCGTGTCGATAATCCCGCTGAACTGAGCGATCTTTCTTTTACATTCAAAATTTTCTATTTTATAATTCTATTCTGAATTAGTTGATTTGTTTTGGAAAGTGAAAGATGTTACGATGAGGATTCAAAGCTCCCTCTTCTGATTTCTTAGTTGAGGAAACTCTGCTGGCAGAATCGAACCAAAATAAACTTCATGCCTTCTGAGTAAAATCTTTTGCATTTTAAATCAATTTAAATTTGTTTTTGTTTTTATTGAATGCGTTTGTCTATTTTGTTAATATTTGTTTATTGTTTTGGTTTTTTAATAAAAGTTTGATTTTTGATTTCTTTTGAGATAAGGATGAAGCGAAACTTATGCAAATTCCAACACTTGGACTGAGAGATTCATTCTCGATAGATGAATTAATTGCTCCTGAATCTCTTTGTATATGTTTAATTGGATGATAAATTAGATTGTTGGTTTATTTTAGATTTTTTTAAACCCGCAAATATGTTGTTAGAATGCTTCACTCTTAGTGAAAGAGTCCAAATGAAGCCGATGTTCAACTCGACTCCAAAGCAACACATACACTTTTTTGAGAATTACTTCACACTTTTTTGAGAATTATGATACACAGGACATAATAAGGAATCTATCAGCACTCTTATCTTAATGGGATCTAAAAATAATCACCATAAAAATGTTAATTTTAATAGGTAAAAAACGATTACACCTAAGATTTAATTTCTCCACAAGATAATCAAAATTAGGTTGATTCATATACTTGCACCAATGTCGTTTGAGTCCCACCCCTACCACTTTATGTATGGAATTAAAAGGAATACAATCATTATAGAGATGATTAATGCAGCCTAAAATCTTTTGCTATACATTCTTTTCAGTTCCTATTCTTGAATTGTGTGAAAAACCACCAGCTTCCCATGACAAAATTTGATAATTTTAAAACCAAGGAGCTCCATTGTCATCAAGAAACCACTATTTCCATTTATAAAGAGGTCGATATTAAAAGCAGCTACCAAAAAAATAAAAATTTACTATAGAGATTTATAGTTTCATACGAGGATAATTACTTAGAAATGTAATAATATTTTCCGTTTGTCCATATTAGGTTTCTAACGTATTTTTTGTGTGTATATTACATCATTAAAGTTATTGTAACTGTTTAGAAATAATCCATTTTACTGGTTTTTTCATATTAAACACAGTTTGTAAATGGTTATAATAATCTTAATGGTATAATATCTAAAAAAAGTACCTTAGAGATCTTAAATGGACAAACATAAAATAAGAAAAATGTTAAAATCTTAGAAAATGTTATTGTTTTTTTAGTATAAAGGATATTGTTAAATTATATTTTGTGTTTAAATAAAACTTTATTGTGATTGTTTATCTTAGGAAAATAGAAAAATGATTTAAAAAGATTACAAGGTGGTGAAATTTTCAAAAAGTTTAAAAAATACTGTTATTTTTTTATTACAAAAAATATGAAGTTTAAAATTTGTAAACACAACACTTTCTAAGTATATATTTACAAAAAATATGAAGTTTAAAATTTGTAAACACAACACTTTCTAAGTATATATTTTGATTGTGATCGAAATAGAAAAACAATTTAAAAAGATAATAAGGTAATGAAGTTTTTAAAATGTTAAAATTTTTTTTTTATTACATGTAAACACAATACTTGCAAATATATATTTTTGTACAAAAATACTATCGGAAGTTATCAAAATCTTTAATAAAATGTCAATAAAATGTCATTGTTGTTTTTAGAGCATTTTTTTTGTTAATTTTGTTAATTTTGGATTATTTTTATAATATGGTTGTCATTTGTCACACATCATTTGTGGTCGATTTGAGTTCATTTATTCTATTGTATTCTCTCAATTTATTAGTTGTTTATTCTTTTATATTCTCTAAAGTTATTAGTTTGTATCTAAATAGTCATAGAAAAACACAACTAAAAATCCTTTAATGAGGATACTTGTAGTTCAAGTGTTCAAACAATAGGTGACAAAAATTGATAGGATGCGGAACCCAACACAAAATAACAAGTTTGGGTAACATATTTTTATGCGTTAAAATAAACGGGTTGATACGACACGACATGAAAACTAAACGGGTAAGATTAAGTTTGAGAATTTCAACTCGAATATGATTAAAAAATGATATGTGTATTTATATGTAAGCTTTTGAATTCTTTAAGTAAACTAGATAGATATAAAACCAAAAAAGTTAAGTAAAAGAAAACTTTTGGATTGATTTATTTTGTAATGTTGGAAGGCCAATACTTCATTTTTATTTCTTTCCTTCTCTTTCAAACTATATGGTTCTTTGAATTACTCTCTCATCCTCATGATCTTGTCTTTCACCTCCCAAACTCAAACTCTTTTAATTTTGTTGTTTGAACTTGCTATGACTTTATATATTTTACCTTCAAACTATTAGTTTTTCCTTTCTCCCTACCCAACTTTTATTTTTTCAACATGCTCAATCCTTTAACCTCACATTATATCACATATTTCAAGGTATACCTACAACATGAAATCCGACACGAACTGGACACAGAAATAAACGGGTTGGCACGGCACTTTAATTAAACGGGTTGGGTTAGGATCAACCATTTTCAACCCGTTTAGTGTTTCAACACTACACGAACCCGACATGATACGATTACCATCTCTCGTTCCAACAAATGTTTTTTTTTTCTTTACTTTAACTACAAATAATCATCAAATTACGTTTGAGTGTTTCCAACCATTTATGTCTCAATGGTTCAAAGAATTAAATTAGCTACATGATGCTTATTGTTCCTAGCAATTTATCCCTCATGATCTGGATAATTAAAATCAATTTTTACTCTTTACATCTACATTTAAAATTCTCATGACATAATGCTATATTTGTTTTTCTCTTGTGTCGCAATACTAATAATCAAACAATTAATTTTGATATATACTATGTGAATCTAAATAACCTATATATGTTTTAGGTTTGAAGCAAATAAAAGAATCTGCAAGCAAGAATGTTTAAGGTTATTACTCATTTATTTGTCATGTTATTGCAAGACTATTTCAAAACAATTTGGAAATATAAATTTTTTATTTCCAATCCATTATTTTTTTTACAATAAAATAGGTTTTTAATATGAAAAATATTAAAATCAAACATTGTTTTTTAACTCGTTGAACTATAATTAATATTAAAAATGATTTATTTTAGTTATATTTTTATTTATCTAGTTCTTTTTTTTTTTTTTCTAAAACCATTATATTTGTATTTATTTAGCTATTAAAAACTTGTTCTTCACCTTTTAAGTCAACCTTTGTATATTGGCTATTGAATTATTTGTATCTATTTAGCCATAGAATTATTTGTTGTCATGTTTCAAAAGTTTGTTTTATTTAGTTTTGGAAAATATCTAGTATAGTTCTAAAAATTATGGTCAAGTTTACGTTTTAATCATTTTTTTTTTGTTTTTATAAAATCATCTTTAAAACCGGCACAAGTTTATATTCCATCTTCTTTTTTTAACGGTTAGAAGAACAACAAATTAGTTTGAGACTATTTTATAATTTAACTCAAAATATTTGGATTTTTCTACAAACAAAAATATTGATATTATTTTACAAACAAAAGTATTATTATTATTATTATAAGGATTTTATTTGCATAAAAGCTCAAATATTTTTGTTTGTAAAAAAAATCTCATTATTTTGAGTCAGTTTACGATATAATCTCAAACTAATTTATTATCGGTCTAACTGGTAGATAATGGTCAGAATGCAAGCTTTTATCGTTTTTGTATTTTTTTTGTAGAAAAAAATAATAATTTTGGACTTACACCTAAACTGAGTTTAAATTTAGGAACTTTACTGGAGATTTCTCTTTAATTTTTAAAGTTAGTTTGTTGGTTTATGGCTGTATAAAGTAGAAAGCGATCTATATTTTTAGTTAACAAGACATATTTTAGTTGGTTTAAGTGCCATATTTCCTTAATTTGCCACAACCATTACATGTTATTGATTAATGGTATTAAAATGATGCAATGATATTGCTTAGCCCTAACCTTAGGCTTTTAGATACCCGCCTATGTATATATGTATATGTTGGTGCCCTCAGATGCTAAAATCATACTAAAATCATAGAGCATAAAGTTTTTAGCAAAAAATAGGTAAGAATATTAATCACAACTCATAACATAAAATGATAAACGGTAAACCAAACTTGTTAAGATCAGGATCCTATGTAAGATTGTTTTTGGGTTTGTAACATCAGGATCCTAAGATCGTACAAACTATAACATAATTTTAACTTATAAAGTTAAAACATGAAAAATATCTCAAACATTCAGTTTTCCGTTCAAAATATCTCAAATATTCAGTTTTCCGTTCAAAAGCTATAAAAACTTCAAAACATTAGTTACAACTCATAACATAAAAACAACGCATAACATAAAATGATAAAACAGTGAACTGATAAAAGATAAAAGACGAAGTGGAAAATTCATTTTTATAAAAAAATAAATAAAGAGAAAGTAGGATTAGATCAAATCCCGATTCTACAATCCTACCTACCGATTCTATGATCCTACCTGCGATCGTACTCTAAATAGGATCCAAATGTGATCCATATCGTTTTTTCTTACCTAGGATCGTACGATTGTTAGGCTTATTAGTATTGTGTTAATTGTGTGTTGTATAGGATTGTTTATATCGAGATGGGCCTGTCAATTCTCGTGTTTTGTGCTTATCCGTCTAGCCTATATATTGCATGCATGTAACAATTAGGGTTAACTTTTTTTTGTATCGCCCTACCTAGTTCTCACAGAGAAGTTCTCGTTGAGCTCTTCTAGAGCTTTGATAATCTAAGAATTCGACACTATTTCTTTGTTCTTGTTATTTGATTCACGTTATTATTTATAGAATCTGTCGATCTATCTACTGTTTCTACAATTGGTATCAGAGCAGGAGATAGTGTAACTCATACGCTACTCTTCTGTCAAGTTCTATTAGGGTTTTGCATTTTTATTGGATCTGTTCTTGTCGTCTTGATCATTTCTATCGATTACAAGGTTGCAGAAAACGCTAGACGTTAGCTACGCGGTGGACTGGGGTCTAGGGATGTTGCCCCAAGCCTCTGAGACTCTATGTTTAAAGCGTTAATGAAACTTTCATTATGATTTTTTCTTCCCAATCGGGCTGATATTCACATATGTCATTTAACTACCTTACTCTTATCACAATGAGTTAAGAGTTGACTGCTTTGCCATTCTTTTATAGAAGAGGTACATTTTACTCTTCGGAACCATCTCCAACATTTCTCCATCGATTTTGCATTCACAAACATAACCCTTGAGACTCTCAATAATTACCAATGATGTTTATGGTTACACAACATCTGTGTTTATGATCTTAAAATCGTTATCACCACGATTTGAGTGAACCCAAAATCCAAAACCTATTTTTGAATTGACGGTGAACAATTAATATGTTCTAGATATTTTCACCAATGAATTGATGATTAAAACCTTTATGGTTTGTACATTTCACAGTATGAAATCTTTTTTTCTTTTTTTAATTTTTGAGTGATCTTTATGAAAAGCTCTTGACCCAAGACTTTTCTTCCCAAAAAATCCAATTTTTTATTTTTCTTGAGATTTTCAGAATTTTCTGCCACTTAAAATAGATTCAAAGCTTACTTGTTATTATGGCAACATTTATCAAACAAGTACTTCTTCCAGACTTTCAGACTTATATTCAGTTTCGAATTTTGGTTGAAGCTAAAGCCACCCTTGAAGCCTACTCAAAAGAAGGCTGTCACTATTTCTTAACAAATAGATGATCGTAATACAACGGGAAACCACACAAGCACTTAAGAGTCTCTCTTGACTCAGAAGGAAGAGATCATTGCCTAAGATCCATCTGCTTTTGTGTCAATTTTATTTAACATCACGGAATCCCACAAATATAATTTTCTTTATTTCTTATTCTTTGGCACACTCTTGAACAAAAATCTTTATGATTTTTTCCAACTCTGGTTCTAATTCCTGTTGATAACTGTTATTTAAACAACAGGTTATGGTGTATTGGCATTCAATTCTGAATGAGTCAAAATTGAAAAAGGCGATTTTCTTGGGGATAAGGGTTTAATCAGGCGTGTCTTATTTCAAAATCCTTGACATCACGCGTGTCAGTTACAATGCCGCCTGACACATACAACTGTCACGATATTCAAGGCAGATTTATAAGGATATGGGAACGTCAAACGACAAAATTTTCTCTCTCCACTTATTACAGATGTATAAAAAGGGTTTTGACGGTTTGGTTTCTCTCACCGCTCACAAATTTATCAATACTCTCACAGAAAAACCCCTTTCTCTCTATTGTTCATCGTCGTCCACAATGCTACCATGGCTGGTTCATCTAAAACTGCGTCGTTTTCTTATCAATCGACCTCTATGGTCATGCTAAACGTGAAGCCTGGTCAAAATATGATTCTCGATCTCACCGCCTCACGCTACAATGAAGCCCTAAGGCCGATGGTGGAGTGCTTGCGTTTCTCGCCACTGGCTCAAGCTTTGACCATGGCAGAATCCATTCCTCTCATCCATCTTTCGAATGCGTATTCCTCTACTTCTTTCATCCAAGCTAATGATGTGATTACCTTTGAGGTTGCTTCATGTAAGATCTCTATTACCAAAGATCTTTTCTACAGAATACTAGGGTTTGGTTAATCTGACGGTCTTGTTGATCCTGATTCGATTTTCTCCATTTCTCTAATCGATATGTTTTACCAAATGGGCTACATTAGGGATCTTTCACTGCTATCCAAGTTCAAGAAGCCCAATCTCCCTCAAATGTAGAATGGTCTGTTTACGTTGTTGTTCAAGATCTTCTCTGAACGAGTTGCTGGTCCTGACAGAACTAGTAGGCTCTTTTATACCATTATATATGGTCTTTATCATGACATCAACTTGGATTATGGTTCTATTCTCTGGGCACAACTCATTCAAAACACTGCCTCTGCCACTCATAATACTGAGATATCCTACGCTCGTTTCTGGTCGATCATTGTCAAACGAGCCCTGGTTCACTTCGAGGTTCCTTTGACAGATGATTATATTGTTGTTTCTATTCCGATTCTACAGACGTCGACAATTATGATGTCTGACCCGAGCTAGTTTACTTTTATTGGCTCAATTCCGGAGGTCATGTTCGCAAAGGTGCTTCAAGACAATGTGATTCTTAATGAATATCGGATGTTACCTCCTTCTGGTGCTTGCCCTATGACTGAAGAAATGTGAAATGCGATTTAGGAGGCTAACAAACCAAAAAGGGGAGCAAAAAGAAAAGGAAAAGCTGGTAATTCAGAAGTGGTCAAAACTCCAAAGAAGAAGACCAAGAAGCAGGCTTGCAAACCAAGATCTCCCTCTCCAGTCGTTCAGGAGGACTCGAAATCCCGAACGATTTCATATTTCTGAAGGGATGATACCGTTCAACATGAAGTTGAAAACACAGCTGCGACTTCGGAACCATCTGATGGGTTTTGGTCATAAGACATTCTATGTGCTCATACAAACCCTAAAGCTTGGATCTAGGTTTCTCTATTGCACATGCAAGTTATCCAAGACTATAAACCCTAGTTCTAGCATGCAAGTAATCATATTAATATGTAATTAGGTTTAAGATCATACTTGGATTGTTATGTAGCAATAACAATCCCAAATCTCCTTGTGTTGACTTTGGAAGGCTTAGAGTCACAAGTGTCACTCCTCTAATGGCTTACAAACACCAAGAGAAAATGGAGAAGATATAAGAAGAAAGGGGAGGTATCAAATTCGTCCCTAGAACCCTTAGGGAAGGTCTTACACGAAATCATGTGCCAAGGGGGTTTATATAGGTGTACAGATAGGGTTTCAATCATTATCCTTATCTAGTTGCTTGCTTACCAAGCAACCCATAAGATAATCCTTGGATCCTTATCATAGTCGAATTCTAAGGCATTATCACCTTAAATTCGTCCATCCTATACTTAGGATAATCCTTACCTTATTTTGTAACTATCACATAATTACAATTCAGCCCCTCTAGTTTAATTAATTACACTTGATCACAAAATTAATTCTTAATTAATTATTGACCAATATTAATTAAACAAATATGATTTCTCCTATTAATATATTATTCTTATAACATATTAATAAATCATAATAACCTCTCTCTCTATTTATTTCTCCAATCAAGTTGCTTTGGTGAAGACAACCCAAAAGGACCATGCACCATCGGGTCAAGTACTTACCAAAATAGTTATGGACTTAGACACTAATCCAACAGTCTCCTACTTGGATAAGTCTAATAACTATTCTGCGTATGACTTCAGATCCTGATCTGCAATCGTAGCTTTCCAAAGCCACTGTTAACTCTGATCATATCAGATACGCGTGTCCTTAGATAAGGGATTATTTATTCCTCCATTCTAGATATCGTATGAGATATGATTTCTAATCATTCTCTTTGTACTATTTTTCGATTCCCGATTTATGATGACTGACTAATTGAACAAATCAAATTAGCCCTAGCCCGGCCGAGCATTTGCGTTTGTCATCACTAAATCATCGAGGGGCCCAAAGATATCGCTTTTATTCTACTTTGAATAAAAGGAACGGATAAACTTTGATACAATGCTTGCTTGCACTCACTAACCAAATCACACAAAACAATATGTTTTATAACACCAAGTTACTAGTACGTTTACATATTATCAACGTGCAACCAATTTGCAAGATACAACTCACACATCTCGGTTTCAAGAATATAAGATGTTATCGTCTCACCAATCACTCGTGATACAATTCATGGAGTGATCCAAGTGAGCGTGGGTTTAATCCAATGCTCAAATTCATATTCATAAGCACTCATGAACGTTGCAGCAAACATTTACTTATGTCTAATACTCTTTTAGACAATCCACACACCAATTCACGATAGTCTTCATTCATATCTACTTCCAACATATGAACGACTGTGGCTCGTTGAATAATTTGATTGTTCTAAACCAATTAAATTATTCAGGAAGTCAAAACATGCAAAGTGAAACACAAGAATAATACTAATCCCATATGGCCTCAAAACTTTGAGTATAAATAAAACTCCTTTTATTTATCACCATATCGATTACTCATTATTTGTCGTTTCGGGTAATCAACTTCTTACTTGAATTATTACACTTTTCCCATGCTCTTAGCATGCACGCAATGTTTACATACGGTTCTTACTTTGTGAAATAGATCAAATTGAACACATTTCCAATCATTCTCATTTCACAACTCCAAATCCTTTTTCATAAGTGAAAGAATATCAAATTCTTGCTACTTATAGAATATGCTAGATTCTAACATTCTATGCAATGATTCTTTCGTAATATCACTAACCAAAGTCACAAAGACTATTGCCAATGAAATTACAAAGTCTTTTATCGGAGATTGTTACAAGACAATTCCTTAGATATGATGTCTCTCACTCAAAGTACATTCCTTTGAACATCCTTTTGCATAAAAGTTTCTAATCTAGACATAGATTTTCAATATTCAATTCCCAATATGGACACGCTTCCATATTTTCCATATGAAAAATCATTCTTAATAGAATCTTATCTATTCGTAATGATGTCGATATGGTCCATCCAATACCATGCTTCCAACTACTCACAAGCAACCAATCCTCGTCAAACTTTGGATTGTCCTTTGATAGTTGTTTAATTATTTTAGTCAAAACCGATCCTAGTCCCTTTTCCCTCTAAATGCGCTAGACATTTGGAAAATTTTAGAATGGTCAAACATTAAAGCATTTGCAATCGATCCTATACCCGAAGCGTATGGGACACAATGCATAATGTTTTATTTGCTATGTTCTCAAAATTCGAATTGTGAAGAGGAATGTCGTAATCATAATCGAAATTTTAAGAACACACTATGTATCTTTGACTTAATTTATTAACATTTCTCAACCTAAGCCTTTAGATTTGAAATGAAACATAATATTCTCTCCCATTAATTATAGCAAAACAATTTTACAACCCTTACGACTTTGCAAGGTATAACTCTTGTTTTCTATAATTAATATTGCCAACTTGCAAAACTTTCCATAATAATCATACAATCATAACTTTTATGCTCCCACTATCATGATGATTACTATAAAAACATAACACTTATGCTCCCACTAGCTTCGACATGTATTCATAAACATCTTAACTTTCAGAAAATCAATACCTATTGATTTTCTTAAGTCCATGTTTCTAATACTTAGTACTTTGATAATCCTTTATCAAAGCTCCTTGAACTTATACACCTTTGCCTTAGATAGTTCATATGTGTTTCTAAACAATTAATACTAATTTCTAAACCTCACAACTCAAATCATGGAAAGGGATACCGTAACCATAATCGAATTTGAGAATGCAATTTTACAATCACTATCCCTTTAAAATCTTTCTTAGTGAAAGCATTTCCTCACAATCATTTTCATGAAGGAGGAAATCTTATGACACTTAGATTTAAACGGTGTATGTGTTCCTATCCATGTGAATTTGTTAAAACCAAAGTTTACGCAAATTCAAACTCATATGGACCGAACTTTCTTAATCTTGATTTCTTGCCTTATGGTAGCACAGCTGCCCACCACGTCTTCCAAGTAGTTAAGCAGCTCACATTTTCCTATCAATGTACCTTCCATTGATTAAGGTGCTTTGTCTTTTATGCGTTCAAAATAAGAACTCATAGGACTCACATGCATAATTAACTCAATTGGAATAGCACAGAATCAAAATATTGTCAACACGATAGGTTGTAAACCTCAACTCGTGTGCTAGTGATGATCGATAAGGTTTATTTGATTTGTTCTTGAAACCTTTCAAGACCATTAAGACTCCCACTGACTCCTTGACATATAAGATTCTCTTGTGAATAACCATTTCTTGACAAAACAAATATTCAAGAGTTAGTGTAGTTTTTATCAAAACACTTCATAAATTGGTCCTAGTTGGCCTTTGTCTTATCCAAGACATCACAACTTTCCATATTTGATGAATGTTATAAACCTTCTTAATACTTTTCACTCATTGTCAAAATCTTAACTTTAAGACTTGTTATTGGAACGAAGTATGATTAACCTTTTGATTTAACCATTTCTTCAATTCTTGATTCCTCTTCTTAAACATACAATTGTACTAAGACTCACTTAGAGGATCAATTGAGATATGGTTCTTAATCATAAAGATCTATCATAAAGCATAAGAGGTACTCTCCCTTCTTCTTAGAATGGAGAAACTTTTATCTTTCTGCCTACTTGATTTTTATTTGTTTTGCTTTTGATTTAAACTTTTTCAATCAATTCAGAACTACACTCAATCTTATGAGTATAATCATATTTACTAAACCTTTAGTAAATTATGACGAATATCTTTGTTATTCTTATGGTGGACTTGATCAACACACAACTTTGTGTGCTCGATCTCCTATTCCTTTCACTTGACACTTTGTCAACGAATTAGTCTAATTTCCAAATACGAAGTTTCTCATTCATCATGCAACCAAGTTGCCTGACTCCAAATTTCTGTCCAATTGAAATTTGGGTGATGAGAAACTCTCCCTATTTGGTAAATTCTCGACTTTTTCCATAAGAATCATATCCATTTGTTGAAAAAAAATATTCAAACATCAATTTTCATAACGAT